ATGCGCGCCAGTTGCAGTCACGACTCGACGGGGGCACTGCTGCGTGCACGGAAATGCGCGGCCAAGCGCTGCAGCGCCGGTACTGAAACGCCACCGTCAGAGCTCCTTGCCTCCCGGAGGAAATCCCGTTGCTAATGACCTTACGCTATCCCCGGGGCTGTGCTCGTCGTTCTCGTAACCGTGGTCGTGGTTATGAGCTTGAATGAAACACGATCTGCCCCATTGACACCGAGATCGAATGGCCTGTGAGTGAACGCACGTGTCGGCCTTCCTGTTTTTTGTTAAGGCGACGCATTTTCACCCAGTGCCCTTGCTACAGTTTCTCGGCCACTATAAAAATATTATTTTCTGTGCAGAAAAAACTTTGAAAGAAAAACCTCTAGTGAGGTAATGCAGAACATGATAACTCTCATTTAGCCCTATTATCACGAATAGATATTTATTGAAGAATAAAATTATTGCTGCTTTCCCTAAGTCGCACAAGGTTTGCTCGAGCAGAGCTGGTGCGTACCTAGCCGGCCTTTACTTGGCTAGGCTGTTACCATCTTACCTTTCTCTTTCTCACCTCTTGCTATACACAAATGCCTATGTTTGCTTTCTCTCTCTCTCACACACACACACACACACACACACATTTTGTCTCCATCTAATCTTATTTTTTTTCTCTATTATGTAGTCACTCTTCGTTTTTAGTGTGTTTTATTTCCTTCCCTTTTTTGCTTCTTTACCTCTTTTTCTTCTCTTTCTTTCTCTTTTTATATTTCTTTGCGTAGTGTACTTTGCTCTCTTTCCTTCTCAATCACTTCTTCCTCACTCTCATTAAGTTTTCCTACTCTCTCCTATAATACACTACACTATACCATACTCTACAAAGTTGTGATGCAGTGCTAGCGTCCTTAGACTACCGAAAGGTAACGACGCTCGCCACTAGATCCTAGACACGAGGGTTCGAATTTAGCATCGCTAAGAAATCATTTTTGCCACAAATTTCTCTCTATATATTTCTTTTTTTTCTATCTCTCTCTCTCTCTCTCTCCATGTGTATTTCCTTCTATCTTTTTTGTCTATGCACTCCTTTCCCCCTTCCCCCTCAGAGTTACTGTATAACACGTTGTACAAATCCGCGCACTTGTTCTGAGAGCGAAGCAGAAGGGACGAATGTGAAGAAGAGAGTGCATACCGGTTCGTAGTGACGATTTTCCGTCTAAGACACGCGGCGAACCTGGAGCATAACATATCTGCGGTAAAGGTGTGAACAAGACCGAACGTGTTGGTCAGTGCTGGCCGTTGTTTGATGCGATTGTTTTAAATTGTTCACAAGTTCGGTTAGTGCAGTGTTTAGTCCAGCTGCTATGTTTTTCATGTTCTACGCAGCAAAAGCATTATTAATAAATGAATACAATAAAGAGGTGAAATAAGGCCATTTTAATAAACAGATGACGATATGACAATTCAAAATAAAGATAATCATGCTGCAACAGCTAGTTTATGCGACATGCCATGCCTGTATACGCGCTACTACCCAGAGACCTTATTCAGCAAGTAGTTATTAGATGCTTGTGCAGAAGTCATCCACGGGCATAAATGAACAGCAAGTTCGAACACGAAAATTAGCTGAAGTACACTTTTCTGTTCCTAAACTTAGGTCATGGCTTCACTACAACTGCTAGGTTGTACATTAAAAGGATTAGCCGCACAAAAAAGATGTATTTTGTTTTCTCACGCCTGCTTTAATTGGCTTGTGAAACATGTTCAGTGCCACCTTCTACCTTCTCATACCAACCCATTTTGGCGCGATGATACTGAAGACAATGTGTCCCTGTACCAGAGAGTAGCGTATCCCTGCGTATCTTGCAATCAAATTTTGTGTTACTGAGGGTGCAGCTCAATCAAATGTTACTGAGGTGTGCCCAAGAAGAGCAGGTGCCACGTCGTTCAGGCGAAAGTACAAACTGATAAATATGGTACGCTATTTCGACGGAGTAGATGGCTTCGACCCTTGTGCATGGTGTGTTCTGACCGCTTACATAGCTTTGAATAGACGAACAGCACGAAAACCGCATAGCCCCTTGCAGCGGCCGTATTCTCGTGCGCCAATGTTTCCTAGAGTCACACGAGGTCTGATCCCAACACAGTTAGATGTCATCCCTGATTTTAAAAAAAAAAAGTCTTTTTTTTTTACTGTCGCATGCATTACTGCCCTTGAGGCGAAATTGGTTTTTTTTTAGTAAATGTTGCTCAATATTTTTTTTTGGCAAATGCGAGTTATTCGCTGCTTTGTGGCACCTTGCGAAGAATAGCTACGCAAGTGACATCTTTGAGTACGTTTAAAGCCAAGCTAGGTTCACTTACCTTTCGAAAATAAACTCATAAATAACCCGATGCGCGTGGCTGAAGCGAAACGCAAAACAAGTAACAGCGCCGCTGAGGCAGTGTCCGCAACAAAACGCGCTTATTTTACTTGCTTCATTGCTCCTCTGAACTGAGAGACAACAGAACCAAACGCCGCGTAGACCCCATAAACGATGGGAAACGCAAGCAAAAAAATAAAGAAAACAAAAAGCATCGATACTGCTGTCATTCCAGGAACGCCTCGAGGCGGTGTAAAATTTACAGCTACCTCATCCGTGTACATCGCAGCGCAACCACAGCGCACCGAGAAAGCAAGGCGCAAACACTTGAGCATCGCGCGGCGAATCGAAGATGTAGTGGCAGCCGTAAATGTGTCGCGAGAACGCGCCTTTCGAGACAGTTAAAGGGTAATGCTTCCCTCGAGACGCTTGTCACGCTGTCGCGCTGGAATGCTGCGGAGAAATATGTTTCTCGCTGTGCCGTTCTGCGGCCTTACGCGACTCCTCATGCTTGCTTGAGTGAGCGCATGACGCCGGGACATTTGAAGCGGGGCCTCTATACAACGCCGCGCCGGCATGAATAATGGCCGCTTCCGGCAACCTACCTCAGGACCACATAGCTGTGTATTTTTTCTATCTTTCTATCCATATCGACCTATCTTACACACACGCGCGCGCGTGCACAAAATTGATATCTAAAAAGGTTAGAGAAAAAAAAAGGGGGGGGGATATGGAAGAGATCGAGACAGGGGGGTAAATTATAAGATGGTCCCCGTGTCGTCGCTCCTGCATAAATGCTGACACAACAAAAATAACAGGTGTTCAAACGCTTCAATATTGAAACTATCACACTCCAAAAAGGACTCTGACGACGCACTCGCACACACGCGTGAAATGAAAGCTTGAATACCTTCGAGCTTGGTGTTTTCGCAATATAATATTATTAATTCATCAACTCACCTCAGTTGTCAGAAAGTATTTTTGCTAATGGTAGCCCAGATGCCAAGGTTACGGTACCACTGTATGGATGAAAAACTTTGATGGGGTCATCGAAAATTCCACTTCCGTTTTGTAGGAGTAGGATTGCGTACAGTTCAAACAATATTCCCGTTCACCTTCCCGTAAATTTGCCTGTTTTTCAAAAATAGGACACGTGCTACCTCGTGAAATACCATCATAACAAAACATTAACGCGTTTATTTAGGTCACCCCTGTTAATAATGCAGAAAAAAGTACGCTTTGAGAGCACTGAAAAAGGTTCTGAAAAACGAAAGTGCTGTGCAGTCGCTGTTACAAAATATAAATAGCTTATCAATTGTTATAGTGTCTTTTATTAACTATGGTTTGTTTTCATATTTTCTTTGCCATGTGAATGTATAGTTCAGACTGTCGCATTAATATGTCGTTGTGTGTGGCTGTTTTTACGGCTTTCATATAACGGTGTAACACGTTGAACTGTACGAGATAATGAGTGATCGAATGTCATCTGTTCTTGAACAGCTTCCTCATCAATTCAGGACACACAAAAAAAGTGTGCTCTTGCAGATGAAAAACGACATCATAGATCATGAGCTTTCCCACTTCTTCAAAGTTAAGCATGGAAGAGCTTTTTAGAACGAAAAGAGAGGAAGAACTAGCACCTTCTCTTATTGCTCTGTGCTGATAAAATCCTTAACGTCAGTCCAACAAAGAAGACATACTCGTATAGCCAAGCCACTCTGTCTTTCAAAAGCCAGTCACGCGTTGTTTCCATCCTGCATTAATTAGGCTCCGATGAACAGATTCCCACAGTAACAAGGGCGTCGAATTAACGAGGCAGCTCGCCAGTTTCCGCTGGTCAAATTAGCTTTGACACGCGATGTGGACCTCCTCGAGGCATGTATTGCGTAATGAGGGATGCCGGAAACGGGCGCTATAGTAAAGAGCCGAGGATGTAACGTATACGCTTCAGCTTGTACTTCTGCGATCTGATCAAGCAGCGACAGAACGTGACCTATTCAACGCTTCGGGAACTAATTAGGTCGCGTACGTGGTCGCAATTGAGCCGAGAAGATCGCGGAGGAAAGAATACCGGAGCCGATAGCATAAGCGAGCCTTGCTAGGCATTAACTAGGAACACAATTGAGGCGACAGACCGGCTAGAAGCTCACGAGCGACCGCAGAGGTTCGCGTGTTGTGTTTGTCACGGATAGGTCCCGTAATTAAAGTGTAAAAATTGAAATAAACTGAAGTAAGGGGGAGAGAGGAAGAGACGTGTTTCTCATAGAAAATGCTTGCGCTTTTTTCAAGCGCGTATATTTTTTTTTCCGCATCGCATGCAGTCACTCCGCGAAGAAAGAGATTCAGTGTACACCCTTCTTCAAGTAAATGGAAGCAAGTGTTCGCGGCAATGATAAAGAGAGCAACAGAGCTCGCTCTGAAGGAACGTCTGAAGGAGATTTAATTTCCGGAGGAACTGAGGCGTTTTATCAAATACTTGAACATTTATTCTCTCTTTATGCATGCCGCGCCGCCAAGGCGCTTCGGCTTTAGCGCCCCATTGTGCTTACTGTGCTACCTCGTGCATACAAAGTGGTGTCTTTTGAATTGGGTAGCAGAGGTGATGCAATGCAGCGCGCGATTCATGATGCATCCTTTCATTCTGCGCAGGCGCAAAAGCAAGATCCGTATGCATGGCGGTTCTTTCCTCATGCATCGTGTGTACGCAGACGATGTCACTTTCAAGCTGGTGCAGTCAGCGTCCGAAGTGCTGGGTGAGCCATCTGTTTTTTTCTTTGATTTAACCGTTTTCTTTTTTTAGTTTTTTTTTTATGTGCATGTAGTTGCACCTGAATGAAGAAAGAAAACGAAGCCATATATACGTGTTGCTTTGCATGAGTTTCAGCAATTATGTTTAAATAGGGTGTAATTAAATACTTCGTCATTCTGCAGTCAGCCGTGTACCATTGTTACATAAAAATAATAAAATCGTAGGTCGAAATTTGTCTGTGTGATTAGTTATTTCTTTCATTCATTCTGATAAACACAATGTAATACTTTTGCCATTGGTTGGCAAATGGGACACGTCAAAAGACCCGTCAAACATATTATCACCTCCCTAAAGGGATGCGCTGCAGTCCTACACAGCACACTGAACTTACGCGAAGCCATGTTTAGCACGTAGAAGATTTGACTAATCTAAATGACCAATGTATTTGCTCTATTTTCGGAACTAGTTGACAAAACTAGCATAAAAAGTTGCGTACGCAAACGTAGCTACTTCCCCTGAAGGGAATATGGTCATAAATATTCATACACGAGTCGTTCCACACCAAACGTCCCAGCCATTCTGGCGACCCTGTACAAATGTATTTAAAAAGTGCTGATTTACTGCATTCAAAACAGTGAATCGCCAGAATATTTTGGGGATAAAAAAATTATTCGTTACGTGTGTAGCTCCTGAACTCTCCAGAATGCTGTATGGGTGCTGTTTGGGAAAATGTATATGGTAAAAGTACTACTGCTTCTTTCTGAATGAAATTTCGTCTACATATTGCGCGAAAATGCTTGTGTAAGTTGTTCGAAACTCAGTCATGTTAGTGCCATTTTTCTGCCACATAACTCTCCTGGAATTTAGCCAAAATGTGTTATTCTTGCCTTTTTTATTTATGACTGCACGTTGTATGAATATCTCCGCAATGAATGCTTACGTCACAGAAGGTGTTTTGCAGAAAAAATATTTTATACCCCGCATTTGGTTAAAATTTACAAGAAAAATTGATCATTTTTTCAAATTTAATATTTTTGTTTACACTAAGATGCATTTTCAACCATGCAGTGGTCTTATTCAGCTTTACACCTAAATGGAAAGCAAAGAAATAGTTATTTTTCTATGGCAAGATTTCTCAATACAATGTTTGTTGTTTTACGGAAGAAAAGAATTTTTTAAATATCTTATTGACGGCAATGGAGAACTACAAGGCGGAAGCTGTCGTATCACAAGATGGAAATACAGCCATCAAAGGGACTCCAAAAATTATTATCTTTAAAACAAAAATTGTAATAATTAAACTTTCATTGAATTTCGGGAAAATTGTGTGCTATTCGAGCCTCAGCTTGACGTTGTTGTTGTTGTTGTTGTTGTTGTTGTTGTTGTTGTTGTTGTTGTTGTTGTTGTTGTTGTCGTCGTTGTTGTTGTTGTTGTTGTTGTTGTTGTTGTTGTTGTTGTTGTTGTTGTTGTTGTTGTTGTTGTTGTTGTTGTTGTTGTTGTTGTTGTTGTTGTTGTTGTTGTTCCTTCGTATTCTACTCACGGGTGGCAGCATGCCCCGCCGCGGTGGTCTAGTGGCTAAGGTACTCGGCTGCTGACCCGCAGGTCGCGGGATCGAATCCCGGCTGCGGCAGCTGCATTTCCGATGGAGGAGGAAATGTTGGAGGCCTGTGTGCTCAGATTTGAGTGCACGTTAAAGAAACCCATGTGGTCGAAATTTGCGGAGCCCTCCACTACGGCGTCTCTCATATTCATAGCGTGGTTTTGGGACCGTTAAACCCCACAAATCAATCAACGAGTGGCAGCATGCATTCAACTTCACTGCGGCTCTCATATTTGAAGTGACGAAGCTTCAGTGATGTGCAATGTTGCCAGTGGCGTGCCATATGACGGCCATGGAAAGTTTATTCATGACTCCAAGTGAACGCTCGCCACATAGCGGCCGAGCCTGTAGATGGCACTAACAGGGTCAACCTTGAAAGGAGATATGTTACTACACTGCACGCGTTGAGAAGGTTGGTATGTGGAGTTTAACGTCCCAAAACCATCATATGATTATGAGAGACGCCGTAGTGGAGGATACGGGAAATTTCGACCACCAGGGGTTCTTTAACATGTACCAAATCTGAGCACATGGGCATACAGCATTTCCACCTCCATCGAAAATGCAGCAGCCGCAGCCGGCATTCGATACCGCGACCTGCGGGTGAGCAGCCGGGTACCTTAGCCACTAGAATACCACGACGGGGTGCGTAGAGAAGCGGCAACATAGTTTCTTTATTTTCGCCATGCCACACCCGCAAGCCAAAAAAAAAAAGAAAACGTTGTCCAAAGACCATTGCAGTGTGCCGCAATGCGTGGAATCGAGGTTGAAGTGAGCAGGGGACGTGCCCCTTCAGGTGGCAGTTGCCGGCTTGCTCTCTCCCTCTTTCTTCTGTTTACTTGTGTATCTGTGTATGCAAATCAAATAAATTAATAAATAAGATGAAAATTAACGTATCGCTTCCCGAAGGACGCAGACGATACGTGATGGAGAACGGCGCAAATTAAAAACTTACGCACCGGAAAGGTGACGGACGTACACTATACGGTAGTCTATTCCAATAAGTTCGGTCGCTACGACTTAATTCTCCTTGATGAGTACACCATTACATATCATGTGTGCATTCTTATCAATATTCGGCCACCTCTAAGCACGGAGTATAGTTTCGCTTATTTAAGCATGCGCCTTAATAAATTTGTTGTGTTACATGTGTGACTGCATTTTCCGCATATGCTTGTTTTCTGTGCAAGTTGTAGTGGTGCCATTATCAAATGAAGCTTATGTAATCCTTTTCCCGGAACATTTTTTTTTTACCTCAAATGTGGGTTATACACGCACACAAACACGTCCGCCATGGTCGCACGTGCGTAGCGTGCGCGTTGGTTCAACGCAAAGCTCCATAATTTATTTTTTTTTCTAAATTTTGTAAAACCGACTCACCAACAGCAATCAAGCGTATTGATGAAATACAGACTTTGATAATACGACGAAAAATACTCAGTCTTGAATTTCTTTTTCTCCTGAAAATTAACAAGTTGTCCATTCATCCCGCTCCATATATACGCCCGTCAATAACAAGACAAACCATACATCATCACTCGGAATCCTTAACTCCTTATCAATCAAGAACTAACGCTTTCATTTCTTTTTCTTTCTCGTGGTATTAACGTATGAAACGCACTGCCATCATCATTGCTAAAATCCGTTGAGTCGATGGACTATTTTACTGATATGTAAACTTTGGATTGAGTTGGGTTTGTTCTCTTTTTTTACCTTTTGAATAGCTGTCCTTTGTTTTGTAATTTCCCCCCTCCTGCCTGGGCCTTGGGAGCCTTCATTAAGTTGTAAATAAATTAATATTATAATAGGCAGTTTTAGTTTTCTTTACGTAGGAACTTCACGTACGCAAACGTGAAAAATCCAGGTACGTTACGTGCACGCCATGAGAAACGCTTTTAACTGCACGTACGCAACGCGCGGTGAGAACTACCACGTATCTCCATCTGTCGGGAATCATGAACACTACGGTGGCAAATTCTGCTTGATTGATTTGTGGGGTTTAACGTCCCAAAACCACCATATGATTGAACCACCATCGCATTATTATAACCTAACCATCTCGTAGATGAACAACTCGTTTGCTGTCACCTTCCACTTGGACCAGCATTACCTTACTCTCGTTGAATTGGCAGCTCTACTGATATAGCTAAAGTAGAGTGTTACCTTCGTTACCTCTGCTTCGAAAAACAAACATTTAAGGCTGATTTCTCTCATGATCGATACACATGTTCATTTTGCTAGTTCATCATGAAATTTTCAGACATATATGCCAGCTTGAAAGCTCAAGAAAGACTACCTTTTTTTTACATTTTATTAAAGCTGAACTCTCTTTACCGGCAAGCTGTCGCAGATTATTAATGGTTGCACACCATTGATGAATAATCGATTTGTGGTGATTAACGTCCCAAAACCACCACATGATTATGAAATACGCCGTAGTAGTGGGCTCCGGAAATTTCAACCGCCTGGGGTTCTTTAACGTGCACCCAAATCTGAGCACACCGGCCTATACAACATTTGCGCCTCCATCGGGAATGCAGCCGCCGCAGCCGGGATACGATCCCGCGACCTGCTGGTTAGCAGTCGAGTACCTTAGCCAATAGACCACCGCGGCGGGGCGGTAGCCAATTCTCGACACGCTATCTTGTTGTCACGCTCGTCACGCTATCTTCTTTGAGCGCCCACGCAATGTTGTCTACGTGCGCAAGATACGCACGCAAAGAATGGAATCTCACGTACGTCCGTGAAGCCAGCGCACGGCCGCTATGTTTTGCGCATGCGCACTGCTTACACGTAGAAGCTCGACGTACGGAAAGCCTCTACGTGCGGGAAACTAAGACTGTCTAATGTCCGTGCATTAGTAGCGTGCATAGTGTGTGTCCGTACATCTTCTTTGAATGTCAACAACTGCGAACGCGAGCGAGTGTTCGGAAGCACAGGAGCCCATTTATTAGAAACCTAACAACCTAGATCGAGGAATGAAAAAAAAACACTCCTATTACAATCAAAACTATAATTTGATTTATCTAGAGATACACTGGACCTGGCATTTCTACTTTCTGTATAATCAAGTGAATGGCAAGCGCATTCAGCTTTTTTACGGGACAACGGAGCTCAATGGGATACGTGCAGTCAGTAGCACGAGTATCAGTGCAGTTACCTAAAAAAACTGTTAAGGCCTTGCCTGTAGCAACGCAGCGCAAAAGTGCTAGCACCTTTCGAACAGGCCCGCTACACGTGAGCAGTTGTCTTCAACCTCGGGCTCGGTAGACAGATTTTTAAGCTTAAAGTAAATCTGATGCGGTTTGCCAAAGAGGCTCGACGTGTGCGTGCTCAGCGCAATTATTTCTGCTGTTTCACCAGTGAAATCCATCCCGCTTATGACAATGAGGTGCGGTCCACGG